GGAGAAGAGAGGAAACTGTGGTCAGGATGTAAAATAAAAAATAAATGTGAAAAATGTTTCATGATGATAATATCTGAAGTAACACCTCCAGACATAGAATAACCAGGAAGTCAGTCAAGGTCTTCAATATGGCACCATATTTTACCCAGTCCTTAAAATAATTCTTAGAAGGAACTCATTTGTGTTCTATTTCTCACCATACAAGGGAAACTTAGTTTACAACTTTAGGTCAAGCTGAAGTCCATACAAAGACCTCTTTAGCCAGTTTCTATTCTCTGGTTTTCACCTTGGTCTTGAAGGAGAACTTTCCCATTAGGCATTATTGCTTTCAGCTATCCAGTCCACCCACCAAATTGAGAATTAGCTGTAAGGAACAACATAAAATGAGTCTTATTTAGCTACGGGACTCTTTGGGGCCAACCCCCTCAGTGTTGCATTGAAATTGTTCAAAACTGACAGGCATGAAGATTGCCTGCTAGGTTGGTGAAGAAAGTAAAACTCGCAGGCAGGAAATAGCTTGTGTACAAGCTATACATTTAGGTTTGGGCAGGGTTTAGACTAGAAAGCAAGACACTAGTTATGTTTTGTTTTCTGGCTTTGTACTCCTCTCAGTGGTTAACTGGTCTTATTTATAAAGAGCAAGTGATGACAGATTTCCTCTAAATATTTGGGATAATTCAAGGAACATAGCTGAGGAATCCAAAGGAAAGAAACTGCACTTGATGAATCAAGAAAGTATACCATTTATTTAATGGGTAACATCTATATATTCTGACAAAGATTTCAGCTTTCAGAGGGACATATAAGGAAGGAGAAAATAGGTCCCTGTGCATCCAGGGAATTTACCAGAAGCAATCATAGAAATGCCTGAATAACACAGATAATAACAAGTTCCTCCTCCCAGGTAAATATTAATCCTCTTATCCTAAATGACCTTGTTCTGGGACCAAAGAAGCATCTTTATCCATAGTCACAGACCATGGCAAGGAGAGCTGCATGCCATGATTGACTGATACATGGAGTACAGAGGACAGCCCCAACTCAGGGCACCTTCAAAAAGCCCATTCCAGAGCTCCCTGAGACATACCCTGAAGTCTTTGAAGTGGCTGTATCAGGACTTACTTTCTCCCTCTGCCCAAGCCTTGGGTGTTTTTCCTAAGAGCACTTCCCAATCAGCTTTCATTGTGCAAATCAAGCCAGGGACCTGGGTGTGCAAAAAAACCTGCTTAATGCAAACATTTCCACTTAACACCTGTCAGCCACGTAAAATAGCTCTTGAGCTGATGAAACAGTGGAACACTCTGCTCTCTTTTAGTCATCAGGGCCAAGGAGAAAGAGGACAACACCAGGGATCATATCAGCCAGGCAACTCCATCATAGCAATGCAGGTTAGTCTCAGGATTTCTCATCCCCTCCCCTGTCCATAGCTATAAAATTCCCAAGATGGCACAATTCTCAAAGGAAAAAAAAAATGCCTACTAAGCCTCCATGCCCGCAAGAGCCACATCAAGACTTCTCAGAGGTGCTGTGGGAAAATAAAGTTTTCTAGAAATCAACTCATAGGGTCAGTAGTTTGTTTCAGCACTGACATAGTTGGAGTCTATTATGTGTTAAATTAACTTACACTTGCTTTATCGAATGAACTCTTCAGCATAGCCTATGGTGTAGAGCACTCATGGACCCAATTTGACAAATACAGAGACTTTAACAAATTGCTCATGGCATACTATGAGCAAGTGGAGTAGCAAGTTTATAAAGCCAGCAGCTACCGCTAAGACTGTGGAAGTCCAGGAACTGTGCTCTTATTTATAGGTAAAACATGCAGAGTTAATGATGATGTTACTAAACGATGACACGAGAATCATCAAACTACTAAAGTAGACTGGGGGCCTACACAAGGTCATCTAGGAGGTTGGTGAAGCGCTTTCCAAAGCGTCTCAGAGAAAGGGACTGGGGCTGGCCATCCTATCTGGGGTTAGTTTCTCAGAGTCTGACTATAGTGGATTCCATGGCCACTGTATAATTCCTGTTTGACTATTTAGCAAAATCCCTCTAATTGTTTACAATGATTATCGAGCTCAAAAATCTTTTATACTTTAATCACCACACATGTATCAGTAAGATAAACTCCTGCATCTCATGGACAAAGCTGGGTATCCTGGAGACAAAATGAGAAAAATAGCACCTCTGTCTTAATGATGATTTGTAATTTTTAAATTTTTCAACTGAGAGATGCTAAACAGTTCAACAACTACCACTTTTCACACAAAAATGTTAGGAATTCATTAACAGTTACCTAAGCATTTGGGGAAAAGTCATTGCGGAAGTTCATATTTATAGTTCTAGGAGTGGAGTAGTGAGGTAAAAGGATTCTAAGTTCAAAGTCAGCTTGGTTATATAGCAAGACCCTGTCTCAAGGAAGAAAAATGAGTGCGGAAAGCAATTAGAAAGGTTATCATTTGCTCCTCCTGAACTCAGAGGAGACTACTACACATTCACAGGGAAGCCATCCACACCACGCGTGGCGAGTGTGAGTCCAATCCGCCAGCTTATTTTTAAATAAAGGTATATATACTATATGACATAAGATAGAGTTGGCAAAGTTTACTTTGTTATCTACTTTCCTCTCATTTCTATGTATATAACTGTCACACCATGATAGCTCATACTGAAGATTCCAACCTGATTGTCTTTGAAAGATGCGAAAGTTAAAAAAAAAAGAAAAGAAAAGAAAAGAAAAAACACTTTTCAGACACTCATCCTGAGTAATTTTCAAGCTGATACATGTTGAAATTAACCTATGAAAGGAAATTTCACTTTACTCTCTTGTAGGAAGCTAGGAAGTCTCGATAGTCTAGGCCTATTATTTTAATCCGAGGCTCCTTTTGTCCTTAAAGCCATCATTTATGGGCTCTGTGTAAGATTGGGTGCTTCCCTGCCCTATGAAGTATTCTGCATTACTCACTCAGGGCACAGCTGGGGCAGCCACTGTACTTTCCCAGAAATGCACACGCTAGGAAGATTAGATACCCAAGTTCCCTGTGATTGAAACAAAAAAAAACTTTGATCTCAGGAATTGTGTTATCTGGTACTTTGTAGGATCCATAATCTTAAAGAAAAAAAAATAGTTTCCAATGAATTAATAATGGCTTGAGTCTCAACCCGCTACAGCAATTTTCACTGCAGTGGTTGTTTCTTTTATAGTCACACTTGATTAGTGTTTGAAATGTGGAGGAATTGCAATATGCATGGTTTTCAAAGCCCTTTACAGAATTTCATTTTATCACTCGGAGAGAGTCAATGAAAACGTAATAAGAAAAGCTCTATGGGATATTTTTATAGAAGTGTCAGAAGCCAGTAAGCTAACTACTTGAAAGAACTCAGATAGTGCAGACAGGGTTGGGAGCAGAAACACTTCAGAGACTTTAGCTCCAGTATTTTGACTTTTATATGTCCTTGGAGAGAAAAAAATCACATGCACTACAAAATCAAATAACGAGGGGGGAGGGAACAAACCATATGCTTAAGAATAATTAATTTCAATTTTCCTACAAACTAAATATGAAGTTTTGAAGGTAATTGTCATAGGAATTCAGCTGATTTGGCATGTCTAAAATATTGCCAAAAAGGAGAAAATTCTCATTTCCCTTGCTAAGACATGCCAGATTCCAACCATATGGAAGTTAGTCTAGTAACTTAATTGATTGTGATCAGTCCCCCACAACTCCATTTGATCTTGTTTTGCCTTCAGTAGGGATGGAAAATGCCACATCACCTTCTCTACAAGCTAGACTACCAGAAGTCTAGTCTGCATTTGATTATCTTATAATTTTTTATATTTTAGTAATTCTTTATGAATTTTATGTGTTTTGCCATATTCACCCACAACTTTCTGTTAATTCTGCCCAGATCATTTCTATCTCTCTACTCACTCCAAACTTGTGCCTCCTTTTTATTAAAATGCATTTTCCTAGTAACTGATTGACTCCAATTTATATTGTGCATATAGTCCTGGGTATGGAGTCATACACTGGAAAATGGTTGATTTTCCAGGAGTCACACTGTTAAAGAAAACTAACTCTTCTTCCACCAGAAGTTATCATCTTTTCTAGGTGAAATTAACCTCTTCCCACTCCATGCTAAACTGATAAAGAGCTTGGTCATATCCAGGTCTTGTATAGGCAAAAACAATCAATGTGAGTTTATGAGCATAGTGATCCTCTCATGTCCAAAGCTCTGATGATCCCTAACCTCTGAGTCTTACCCTCCTTACATTCCATCTTCCACGATGATCCCCAAGCTTCTTTTGAAGGGATGCAAGATATAGGTATGCCATTTGTGGCTGAGCACTCATTAGCCACCTATTCTCTGCACTTTGACTGAGTTTCTGTGTTCACCACCATTCACTGAATAAAGAAACTTCTCTGTGATAAGCTCTGAGAGCTGGTTAAAATTCAGTTATCATGACCTCTTTTAACCAAGTAAAACTTTCTTATTCATCCAATAAAGTATAAAGACATGGTTGGGGGTAGGGAAATAATGGTTAAATCAGAAAAGTGTTTTATCTGAGGCAGGAGGATCTGAGTTTAGCACCCCCAGAACCCACATAGGAAAGCAAAAACACTAACATGAATGAGTAACTCCAGAGTTGGAGGGGGCAGAGACGGGAGAGTCCCTGGATAATTGATGAGCTTCAGGTTCAGGAGAGACCCTGCCTCAAATATAAAGTAGAGAGGACCCAGGTTGTCTCAATATCCACAGGATGACTATAATCCTCTGTGTTTTCCATCTATGGAGATCTGATTCCCTCTTCTAGCCTTCCAGGGCTAGAAGATACGCAGATACACATGCAGGCAAAACACCCATATTTTCATAAAATAAAAAGATATATCTCTGAAAAATAAAAAGCTGAAGAGCCCCAAGGAAGGTTCCCAACACTGGCCTCTGACTTCTACACCCATGCTGTGTGTATTCCAAACAATGTGAAAGCAAGAAGTTATTCATTGTGCTTTTGTCAGGTAGGTCATTGAAGCAATCGTGTGTGGTTTAACTGACCTGCAATCACGTTGGTGCTTGCTCTTCTCTCTCTCCATATTGGCCAAGTCGTTCTGAGAACCAACGGGTGTTCTTGGATCCAGGCCACCTTGATCTGGGTGCAGTTTCTTGGCTCTGTCTGCATGGTGACTCTAAAATGGCAAGCAAGTAAATTATTCGTTCCAAATAAATGCCTTCTAGAGATATGACAGTGGTAAACATTTATCATATGGCAAATTATTTTTATATGTCTGAAAGCGAACATTCTGCATGCCAAATCAAGTTAGAAATCATATGTTTCTCAATATATTTTAGTAATCTAAGTCTGGGAGTTTTAAGGTAACCAAGTGACTAGAATAAAAAGGTTGTTTAGCTTGGGTTTTTTGTGAGTCTTCTAACAGTAGGACTGAGGGTGTCTCTGATTATTTTGTCTGCTCTTGGGATCCATTTCCTCCTCCTGGGTTGCCTCATCAAGCTTTAATATGAATTTGTATGCTGTGTTCAGTTCTGAGTTCAGTAGATATTACTGGGCCTGCTCTTTCCTGGGGAGAGGGGAGGAGGAGTTGGGAGCAGTAGAGGGAGGGGAGGCTGTGGTCAGAATGTATTGTATGAGAGAAGAATACATTTTAAAAAAAAGTTGCTCTAGATAAGGAAATATTCTTCAGAAATCATATTCTTTATGAAAAGTTTACAAAATATTTTACATTTAGAACATTCTTTTTCAGTTACTATTTTTATAGTCAGACAACCCAGTACTTTGACATATATTACATAATTACAAATAAATTGTGCAGTAGATTTCTTTTTTTCTTTCTTCCTTTCTTTTTGGTTTTTTGAGACAGGGTTTCTCTATGTAACAGTTCTGGATGTCCTGAAACTTGATTTGTACACCAGACTGTCTTTGAGCTCACTGAGATCTGCCTGCCTCTGCCTTTCAAGTGTTGGGCCCAGCTGCTTTATTCTTTTTCAAAATTTATTTTTATGTTAAAATTTTATGTGTATGAGTGTTTTGCCTGTATGTATGTATGTATGTATGTATGTATGTATGTATGTATGTATGTACATATTTGTGTCACCTGTATGCCTGGTACTGAAGGAAGCCAGAAGGTAGCATTGGATCCCCTGGAACTAGAGTTACAGACAATTGTGAGATTAATGTGGGTGCTGGCAATCAAACCCAGGCTCTCTGGAAGAGTGACATGTGCTCTTAACTACTAAGCCATCATTCTGGACCCATTTATTTCTATGATTTATTAAGAAGAAATTTTATTATCTGCTCTAAATGTATATGAATTTTAATCAGTAGTTTGAAAAATTGGCAAAGTCCTTTGGCCAATTTGAGAATAATATTTCATTGGGATGAATTATTAAAGCACATATCAATGGTCCCCTGTAACTCACATAAGAGATGTCATAATGTTTGACATTATATTGACACATTGCATACTTTAAAAGATACATCAGTTATGATCCCACATTCAAGACCTAAGGGGAAAATTAAACTTAAGCTCTTTGTCTCATAAACAAATCCAGACTAGAAACTTATTAGTTTGAGTGTTATTAGTTTGAATGTGATTATAAAATATTAGGAGATTTGTAGTTAAAATTAGCTAGCCAGTTTTGGCCATTTACAATAGCAATTTGGCACTGAGGATAAGACAATGAATTTGTCTCTAAAGTTACTCATACAGATTACATATAGAACTTAACACATTAAATCTTGGGTTTGTAGAATGAAAGGCTTATAAAATTTAGAAAGTATATATAAAGAAATGAGAGTCCAATATGATGACCTGATTCACACAAGTTAACAAAATGAATGATGTGGCTATAACTCCTGGTCACTAGTACAGTACTCTTTATGCCATTGTAACTCATTTGTTCTGTTTGTCTGTTCAGAATAATGGTTATAATGAAGGCTACAAATCTGTTGTGTCCTTTTTATCAATGTCCATTGCATGCAATTTTACAAAGCCCTATTGCTTTAACTTTTGGTTTGCCCACATGGCTTCTTTGTGAATCAACGGGATATTGACACACCTGTAGGCTCAACAATCTACACTATTTATTTGCTCAGGCCTACATTTCCATGAATGAAGTCATGAGAATACATGCAGGATAGCTTGAGGGAAGCTCACTGTGAACTGCAGTTTAGTTAGGGTACCAAATTGACTAAGCTGTAAGACTCAACTATAGGATTCTATGGTATTTAGTATACACCAGTTTAGACCAACAGAAACCAAGTTAAGTTGGCTCAACCCCACAGCTTCATGAACCCATTAAGTGTGATTTGAATTCTATGCCATGAATTTTTTTTCAGGTGTCATGTAATATTGTGGGGTAAAAACTGTTTAATTCAACAAATATCTGTCCCAGATATTGCTGTATGACAATGCAAATATATGACACCTTGAACTTTCAAATACAATGTCTCAAAATGTTTGTGAAGAGTATTAAAATAATATGAAAAGTAATTTTTACACAATTCTCAAATTCCCTGTCTAAAATCAAAGGATGGAAACAGTAATACCACCAGGGATAACCCAAGTGATCATTTTTAATACTGATAGTGAATGGAACTATTTAATAGCATATTGCTTACATTCAACTCACTCACAAACCAGAAAATATGTCAATAACTTATTATGAAATTTTAAATCTGTTGTGAAGCTAGTGCTAACACACAGTTTTTGAAACAATGAAGATTCAACATCTATGTAGCCTCTTGATTTTTTAATTACATGCTTTTGGAAAATATATTAATACCAAGATAGATGTTAAATCATAGTTTCTCAGTAGTGAGAAACAAACCAGATTAATGGAAAAAATAGCTTAATGATTATTTTCATACAGAATTCAACTGATAACATTAAAACACTGGGGAACTCATGGGATGGCAGTGGATAAAGGGACTTTCTGCCAAGCCTGATGTCTTCAGTTTGGTCCCTGGGACCCACAATCTCATATTTGACTAATTTACATTGAACTCATTCACAAACCACAAAACAACTGAGAAAATCAACCCCTATAAGTTGTTTTCTGTTCTCTATATGTACACTGTTCTATGTTACTTTCCCTCTCCCTCTCTCATCCCCACACAAAACAAATAAACAAATGTCTCCAATGCTTTAAACAATGAATAAATAAAAAACAGTGGAGAAAATATAGCAGTTTGTGGGATTTATGAATACTATATTATCCTCCAAATTCTAAAGAAGAACTTTTAGGTATTCTTAGTTTGAGACCTTTGTCATAAAGTCACAGCAGGAGAAAATAACCACCCAATCATAACGGCCAGACATCTATAGAACATTCCATCCAAACACTAAAGAATATACCTTCTTCTCTGCTCCACATGGAACCTTCTCTAAAACAGACCACATACTACATGACATAACAAACCTCAACAGACAAAAAAAAAAATTGGAATAATCCCCTGTATCTTATCAGACCACCATGCTTTAAAGTTGGAATTTAATAATAACACAAATCTCAGAAAACCTACAAACTCATGGAAACTGAACAATGTGCAATTGCACCACACCTGAGTCAAAGAAGAAATAAAGAAATTAAGGACTTCCTAAAATTCAATGAGAATGAGGACACAACATACCTGAACTTATGGGATATCTTGAAAGCAGTGTTACAAGGGAAGTTCACTGCACTAAGTGCCCATATGAAGAAAACGGAGGATAGTCGCATTAGAGAATTAACAGCAAAACTGAAAGCCTTAGAGCAAAAAGAAGTAAACTCAGCCCGGAGGAGTAGATGCCAGGAAATAATTATTTTGAGGGCTGAAATCAATAAAGTAGAAACCAGGAAAACAATACAAAACATTAATGCAAAAAGAGTTGGTTTTTTGAAAAAAAAGAATAAAACCTTTATCCAAACTAACCAAAAAGCAGAGAGAGAACATGCAAATTAACAAAATAAGACATGAAAATAGACACTGAGGAAATCCAGACAATTTTCAGGTCATACTTTAAAAACCTGTACTTCACAAATTTGAAAATTTAAAAGAAATGGACAAATTTCTGGATAACTATCACCTACCAAAATTAAATCAAGAATAGATATAGTATAGACCTATAAGACCTATAACCCCTAATGAAATAGAACCAGTCATCAAAAGCCTTTCAACCAAAAAAAAAAAAAAAAAAAAAAAAAAGGCCCAGGGCCAGATGGCCTCAGTGCAGAATTCTACCAGAAATTCAAAATTCAAGGAAGAGCTAATACCAATACTCCTCAAATTGTTTCACTCTTTTTATGAGGCCACAATCACCTATATGGCTTGGGTACCAAGCCACACAAAGACACAACTAAGAAACAAAACTACAGACCAATATCCCTCATGAACATTGATGCAAAAGTACTCAATAAAATACTGGCAAGTAGAATCCAAGAATACATCAGAGAAATCATCCACCATGACCAAGTAGGCTTCATCCCTGCGTTGCAGGGATGGTTTTACATACGAAAATCTGTCAACATGATCCACCATATAAACAAACGGAAAAAGAAAAACCACATGATCATCTCCCTAGATGCTGAAAAAAGCATTTAACAAAATTCAACACCCTTTTATGATAAAGGTCTTGGAGAGATCAGGGATAACAGGAACATACCTAAATATAATAAAAAGCAATATACAGTAAACAAACAGCCAACATCAAACTGAATGGAGAGAAGTTTAAGGCTATTCCTCTAAAATCAGGAAAAAGACAAGGCTGCCCTCTCTCTCCATATTTCTTCAATATTGTACTAGCTAGCAGTTCTAGCTATAGCAATACGACAACAAGGAGATTAAGGGGATCTAAATTGGAAAGGAAGAAGTCAAACTTTCAGTATTTGCAGATGATATGATTGTTTACATAAGTGACCCAAAAAACTCTACCAGGGAAGTCCTACAGCTGATAAACACCTTCAGCAAAGTAGCAGGATACAAGTTAAACTCAAAAAAAAAAAAAAAAAAAAAAGAGTAGCCCTACTATACAGAAGACAAAGGGGCTGAGAAAGAAATCAGAGAAACATCACCCTATTGCGATTAATAAAGATCAGAATAAACAGGCCGAATAGATGTTTATTCAGGGAGAAATAACTTACAACCAAGACAGATGAACACCAGCAGGTTCCACCGGATGCTCTCCTCTCC